AGGTGTTTATTTTCCCTCAAGAATCTGACATTGCCTTTGTTTTGCTGATCCCCCAAGATGAGGAAGCCAGTGTAGAATTTCACTGTGTCTGAAGGCCTCCACTGGCCTCACCCACTGTTACAGTCTCTTCTCCAACAACACTCAGACCCAAAACAATGAGGTGATTCTCTTTGTGCAGAAAGTGGAAGAACATGTGTTCTATGTTGAGGATCAGCATATAATTTTCAAAGTAACTCAGCCTTATGACCCAGGCCACATCTGGGCTGGGAGTCTACTTCTGGGATTGTGGAATTTTGGATAGATGGCAAGTCTATGGGAGGAAGGGCTTGAGGAAGGGATATACTGTGGAGGTGGAGGTAAAGATTATCCTGGGACAAGAGCAGGATTCCTTTGGGGGATGTTTTGATGCCAGAATCCTTTGTTGAAGGGATATGGGACATGTCCCTGTGGGACCACATGGTCCCCCTGAAGAGGATGAGTGACTGGTGTTACAATGGCAAACTTATAAATTGGCAGAACCTTATTTAGGAAGAAGAAAATGGCTATGTGGTGACTAAGCCCAAAATGTGAGTTTAAGCTTCATTCTTATAGTCATAATTTGTGTTTAGTGATAATCACAGGCTCTATGAAATTAAATCTATTTTTTTTTGGCCCTGTTAAAGTAGTGATGTAAGCTGCATTAAAAAAAAAAAAGAAATACAGATCCTCGCTATATGTTATGTATTATTGCAAAAACTTGGGTGAATTGTACCACAACTGTCTACAGCATCACACCATAGGTACTGAGGATGCTACTGGGGATTCTGCTTTCAGGACTGGGCACAAATGTAGAACCTCATACTGTTGTGAGAGGTCTATGGGGGTTGTGTGTACTCAAATTCAGAAATCTATGAAAATAATGTGACTACTGGGAGAGACTTTCAGGAATGGTCTGCTTAAGGGAGCAGGAACTCCAATGAGATAGTCTCAAAAGAGAATTTCTCTAGAACAAGGTTGCAGAAGTATTTCCCAGAAAGGAATCAAAGGTGTTCTCAAAGGTCCTCTTAGGGAAACAAAATAAAAGCACAGATCAACTGCCCTGGGTGCCCCTCTTTACACCTACTCTCAGCTTCTCCCCAGAAGTAGGCATTCTGAGGAGAAAAAAATTGCATTCTTTATATATATAAAGAGAGAGAGAGAGAGAGAGAGAGAGAGAGAGAGAGAGACTTTCCCTGTCACACGTCTCTCTGGATACAATTCCTTTACTAAAACTATGCCACCCAGGACTCAGGGACCAATGCAGAAGAGGGGGCAGAAAACTGTAAGAGCTGAGTGGTAAGGTGGATGACCACAGAAAACAAAGTTTTCCAGAGGTCAGGAAACTTCTCATAAAAATCTGTATTTTTTTAGACGCCATACACACAAATGTACTTTCTTGGACCTCCTACCACCAGGGATTCTTAGGCCCCTTGCTTAAGGTGCAGTGTATTATCAAGGAGACATTTAAAAGTTGTGGAAGGTGGGAACTGACTGCTCTTGCAGAGGGCCCAGGTTCGGTTTCCAGAACCCACATGGTAACTACAAACCACCCTTAACTCCAGTACCAAGGGAATCTGATACCCTCTTCTGACCTCCACATGCAGGCAATATACTCATACACACAAAATCAATTACACATCAAGATGTTTCCCTTTAGAAGGCTGTAGCAATAAGAGTTGGGCAACCTTCAGATCCATGAATAGAAAAGTGTTTAAATTTTGAGTTGAAAGTAATTACCCAACAATCCACACAAAATAAGTCCATCAATATAGTGATGAAGAAGGTGAAGACACAAAGGGAATATCAGGTCACATATTAGGTAGAGAAGACTGAAAATCATGGGTTAATTTTCATTTTATCAGCGGCAGAAGTTAGTTGAGGGATAACAATAAATTTAATTTCAAAAGGATATTTATTTAAAGATTGTTATAGTTATAAATGTAGTATAACACACATGTTGCTGCATAGGAAGACATTTGGTATAGTGATGTTCAGAACTGAACATGTGTAAGTTGCTAACTAACATTGCTCATACCGTTGTTCCAGACTCACTGAGGCACTGGATCTAATGTGAGCCTCAGACAAAATTGGAGAAAAATGTTATGGGTCTCCGAGGCAGGTGTGACTGTTTAGAACTGATATTATTTCTGCTGGACTTTCAGGGTCTGTTACTTTTCACATTGCCCAAAGGAGAAAGTGATAATAAGTAGAAAAGTAGCTATGTGCTTCCAACACATCCTGCACCTCAGCCATATCCTCTTTGAAGTTTTAGCACTCCATATCTACCTGAGATTTTCTGTGATCTTTCAACCCATCCCTTCAAATAAGCACTAGGTTACCCACTTTTCTGCCATCAACTAACTGGTAACAGTGAGCTGCCCTCTTGCTTATGATTCCTACCAGGTTCCTATTTGTGAGCAGCATATGGTCATTAGTCTGGTGGTGACCTAGGAGACTAGTAAACGACACAGGAGAATGGTGAGAAACACAAAAGGTAGGAGTGTGGCTCAGTGGTAGCACATTTGTCAGCATGTGCAAGGCACTGGGTCCAAACTCTAACACCATAAACACTTAATTAAAAGAAAAGAAATGCAAAATAAAAACAAGGGTCAACATTCAATACATTCAAGAATCATTCTTTTTTCAGTTTTTTTGCCTGCATGTATGTAAGTTCACTCATGTCTTGCAGTGATGGAAGAGTCCAGAAAAGGTCATTGGATCCCTTAAAACTAGAGTTATGGATGGTTGTTAGCCACCATGTGGGTCCTGGTAACTGAACCTGGGTCCTCTGCAATAACAGCCAATGTTCCTAACCTCTGAGTCACTCTCCAAGAATCATTCTTTATTGCAATCTTATCACCAAATTTTACAAGTTTTTCAGGGTAGAGAAGGAACAATAGGATCAATTTTTTTGTGTATTCAAAAATGTTCAGACTACATCATAGTCCTCCCTTATCTGACAGGGAAATGTTTCTAAACCCTGAAACTGAAAATAGTACTGAACCTTATATATCCTGTTTCATACTGAACCTTAGACACACACACACACACACA